GTTAATTTAATCAATACCAATAAGTCCGTAGAGTAATACACAAAACGTAGTAACAGTCACGGAACAAAGTAATGTAAAATATTAAGTACGGAATTTTCCATTTCGTAGGCGGGACAACGAATTCTCAACGTTTTTTTTTGTTGTTTTTCACTCGGCGCGGTATCGTACGACGTTACGCGGGCCAATGTTTACTCGAAGGTCGCCGCTCTATCATTCGCTCGCCGAACGTCGTGCCGGCAAGCAGTTGCGAGAGTCGCTCCGTGCGTAGTATTACTTTTTCCTTATCGGTTTCCAAGACTCGATCGCGACGAGTGCAGGGATAAAACACTATTGATTTGCACACCTTTGTTAGTAACAAGTAACGTTCCTTGATTAATTACTAAGTTACTACAACTTGTAACGAGAAACGAATAGCATGTTGAGGCGACGGCTCTTTTATCAACGTATACATATTTCACGAGACTAACTCGTCTAAAATATGAATGTAAAACGTGGTACTTTGTTACGCGGTTACGTCTCGTTTACGCACCGCGCTTTTAATTATCTATCGATTTCGTGTAATCTGTACCATTTTCGGGAAAAGAGAGAAATTTGGGCGACTTCGGCGTTCGCGCTGTAATTCGCTCTGTCGTTCTTCGCAACTCGTGCGGGAAGGAAATACAGAAAGTCGCTTATTGCACGTCGTTACATTATGTAAATGATCTCGATTAACTGTTGCGATTAATAACTACTATTTATCGCTGGAAATTTTGTTCACGTAACTATTACATTCGAGGATTGAATTGAATGACAAAGATTGTAAAATATCGTTTCGTTGCGGACTAATAACTACTTCTTTACCGCAGATTATGCCTCCAGTGCTCGCGTTGCGTTTTCTATCGCCAATTCAAAAGTGTTTTATCCATTATCCTATTCTTCCGAATCAAAAATGCAAATTGTTAGTTTGAGTAATTTGTATGACAGAAAGTCACGCGATATTTGTTAATAATATTTAGTGCGGTATTTCACATCGCGTACGGGAGTGTCCGAAATTTCGCGCGATCGATCATTTTCGCGAGTGAGTGTGTGAGTGCAACAAGGAAATCTGAGAGGAGGAGGAGGCATCGGGCAACGGCGGAGAAATCGTAAGGTAAGTGTCTTACAATTTAATATGCTATTTGTTACTTGTGCAAAATAAAGCATCTGTTGTGTTTTCATTTTATTTATTCAAATGATTCGGACGAAGATTCGAATAAGTGTTAGAGACAAAATTCGAATAATCTATCGAATAGAGCGTGTCGGTTGTGTATGATATGACCACAGGTTTCACTGCCTTTTGCATAAGATAAATGTATTACACAATAAACAATGTGCAATACATAAACTCGATGAATATTCAAAAATTATTCTGAACGAATATTCCATAAAGACATTCTCGACGAATATTCTAAAAACGTTCTTCTTTCTTATGAATGTATGATTTCTAATTGTAATAATCTATATATATTTACAGAATATTCGATTGGAATATTCTGAAATTAAAAATATTTGCGCTCCGGAAGAATATTCATAGAACTATGGGAGGGTATCCGGGTATTGGCTTTACGTTGGGCAATATCGGCCATTGCATTTCTAATATAACCAACATTGGACCAATGTTTAGCTAATGTTTAGCACAATGCACTGTGCCACTAGGGTTAGCCCTATCGATCTTTCACTTATTCCCATAGTTGACGAAATTCCTTGCTGACAACCCCAACGGCACATGCAGAGTCTGAGAATAGTTGGAGGATGTTGTAAAGCATAAAATTTTGTGGTATAAGATGTCTCCTGTATTTTGGGACATTCTTTGACACATCCTGTGGAAGTACAGATTATTCGAATGACATCTCGATCTTCTTTTCATTTGACAAGTCAGAATTTCGTGATGCGACTCTTCAACCAAAGAGTGCAATCATCTTTTGACTAATATCTTATTAACATAACGATATTGGCCAAACGAACGATATGAGGTTAGTTAACAATTGTGTGAACAGATTACTTGAAAAGAGTTCAAATGCGGGACCGAAACGTCGTTTGCTTTTTAAATAAGAACATTGGCCATTGTAGGTCGTTTTTAAAAAAAAAGTACATATCATTGTTAGTTTAATTCATGTTCGTCTCCTTTTAAAGTAACAATTGCAAAGAGGCAAAGAACGAATTAAGCTAAGCTTATAAAGTTAAGCGTTGATGAAACCGGGCCTTAGAATAAAAAGTCCCTAAACTTGAGATTAGTAAACTTTACTCCGATTGGTCAAATCTCAATCTCCAACCGTAGTCCGATACGGGCTTGAATTGCTCAAGCGCATTGATATAAAAGAAGATTACGACGTTGCGAGATGAAAATAGATACGGGCCGCCGCTTTTCCATTACATTCCGAGAACTTTTCGAACGGCCCCTCGCGCACTTGCGCGAATCACGTCGATACCGTTTCGCGCGCATTAAGCCCCGAATAACGTTCGAGCGTTTCCTCCCCTTTCTTTTTCGCAGCAATCATCTCGTCGCAGCAAACGGACTCGCTTTATCGTGACGCCTCGTACGATGGCGCCGCGCGGCGGCGGTATCTCGCCACGCTCGCGTGGCGCTATTGATAAATTCTCTTCCGGTATGGGGAATACCGCGCGCCGCCGCCGCGCGGATGAAATTACGCGGAAAACGAGCCGTCTCTCGCGTCTTTCACGGCCGGCTGAATGCGCGGCGGGGGCTCGTTTGTTCGCGTAGCGAACGAGGCCCCGCGCGGCGCGCCGTCGCTAACGCGCGAATAGCATCTCGCGTGGTGTCGCCATTTTGTCCCGTTGTCCGTCGCCGCGGCTCTGTCTCTCTCTCTCTCTCCCTCTCTCTCTCTCGCTCGCTCCTTCTCCCGTCTCGCCGCGCGCGCGCTTGGAAAAAGGAACTGGGACGGATGTCCGCCTGTCGGCAGAGCCCGCGGGATTGAATCGCGCGCCGCGGCTCACTCCGCCTCGTCGGGGTGTCAATTCAAAGCGGCGTAATCTCCGCTCTCGGCGCGGCCAATAATCGGCTTATTGATTTTGATTTGTGCCCGCGTAACGCCGGCAGGCCCCGCGCCTGACCGAGCGGCGGCGCGGTGGCGCGCGCGTGCGGCGGAGCGGAGCTCCGACGAGGGGACGGCCCTTCCGCCCGAGGGAGGGAAAGCGCGGACTTTCTAATTGTAGAAGCCGAGGTCCGGGCCCGCCGCGGGAGTAAGTAACATAAGCGAGCAACGGGGAAAATGCGCACGAGCGAGTCCAACGTACTTTTTTAACCTAACCTAACCTAACCGGCGAAATAATCGCGCGGGTCTAATCGGTCTAATCTCTCCTTCCATTAGCGGTTCAGCCTGCCGCCGTGGGACGCACAGTTTCGGCATGATTAACGCAACGCCGCTTGTTAAACGGATTTCCTCTCGCGGCGCTGGTCCCGCTGTCGAAGTACGCGATTTTTGCCCTCGTATGGACAACCTTGCCGGCGGCGGCTCTCGGAGCAGGAGACGGTGAGTACCCGTTGTAAGTCCAGTTTGGGAAAGTCTCTCCCGCTGCGTATTAAATGTTAAATGAATAAATTGGACAGAGATTATTGTCGCTGTGTTGTTAATTTCAGCGGTCAGCGGATCGCCGAGGCTCAAAGGTGCGCATCGACAATTGCGCGGCACTTGCGTCGATTCTGTCCAAGTATTTTCGCCGATAAATCCAACGGCCCCGCGCGATATCCCGCCGAATCTGGACTTGGCCAAAGTATTTCGATAGAATCCCTCCCGGCCCGCGTAAGAACGCTCGCGCGAAACAGCTTTTCCAACTTTTAACGTGTTACGCGACCGAGGGAGTTTATCAACGTCAGCAGTTAAGAGTTAATCCGCGCGAGAGACGTTCGGTCTTCGGGGGGGAGGGGAAGGGGCCGCTGACGGGGCGATAAACGGTCATCTTTATGCCCGATATGACGACGGGAGAATTTGCGTTTCATGGAATTATAAAGTAATTCATGGACGCGCGCGCGTTGAGAGAGAAAAAAAAGAACCGCCACCCCTCTCGCCGTGCCGAGGCGCGAAAGTTTCCGCGGCGAGGTAACTAGTTGACGCTTTTAACGATCCCGGCGACGCCTCGTCCGCGAAACCTACCCCTCCTCCTCCTCCTCCCGTGGACTCCGGCCCCATTTTTCCTTCCCCCGTCCTGCCCCCGCCGGTCATGTTATATTATAACGTACGTGGCGTTCTCGCTTTATGGTGCCGCTCGAGCGTTCAAATCGAACTAAAAATAACGCGCTTTGCCCGCGCCATCGATGCCACCTGAACTACTCGTGCGTGCACGAAGGTGGCCTCCGCCGCGCCGGGTATGCGCGGGATATATGTGTACACTTCACCTGGCTGCTCCTTTTGAAGCAGCCGATGCCGGGGAAAGAGAGAGAGAGAGAGAGAGAGAGCCTTGTGAATCGCGTATGTATGCCCCCACGTGCATGCATACACCGTGCGCGCCGCGGCTTTTTACGGCCTGACCTATCTTTCGTTAAATATCGTTCGCTGTCTGCAGAATGCAACCGATCATCCCCGCGAGTCGCGGCTCGGTACGGCGGAGCGTCTCGCCGCCCGGCATTAAAGCTGCGAGCGTAAGATCGGCTCTGCAACAGGCAGAGAATGATCCGTAAGTGCTTAAGGGCCCGGTTTCACAAACGTCGGTTAATTGCTAACTGATGGTTCATCGAGTCTCTGACTTGGATAATGATACAGAAAGAGATATGAAGTCGACTAATCTCTGGTTAACCGTCGTTTGAGAAGCTGGCCCTGATGTTCGTTTCTACCAATGCGGATTGACTTTGATCTTGGTTTAACTTATCATCTTTTTCCAATTCTTAGGCCCGCTTTCACCAGCGTCGCTTAACTTCAAGCTTAGTTTAATTCGTTCTTTGTCTCTTTCCAACTGTTACTCTAGAAAGAGGCAAACGTGAATTAAACTAAGATTAAAGTTAAGCGACGTTTGGCGAGATCGGGCCTTAGAATCAGGAAAAGATGGATACAAAGTCAAACCGAGATCAAAATCGATCTACGTTGGTAGAAATGGACAGGAGTCTGCCTAACGCTCATTTCTACCAATGCAGATTAACTTTGATATCTCGGTTTAACTTACTTTTTATCTCTTTCTAGTCTCAGGAATTGGAAAAAGATAAAAACTTAGTTAAACAGGGATGAAAGTTAATCTGCGCTGGCAGAAACTGGCATCAGTCGTAGACGTGAGGCAAGGCAGAGAAAAGCGTGAGTCGTGAGAGGCCATTCGATTTGCGTTTTCCTCTGCCTTGCCTTACGTCTACGACTGACGCTCGCTTCTACCATTACAGATAAGTTTTAATCTCGCCTTAAATTACTTCTTATCTTTTTCCAATTGTTGAAACGAGCAGAAGATATCAAGTGAGTCGCACCGAGATTAATCTGCGCAGGTAGAAACGGGCGTAAAACAGAATTGAACGTTTACGGATCGTTCTCCGCCATCGGCCCAGGCTTCAAGCCGTAAGAAATTGACCAGTCAAATGTGAGGAGAATATAATCGACTGTGATTGGTCGATTACTTACGGCTTGAGACTTCCCGCATCTATTGTAGACCTGACCCAAATGGAGGCCGCGGATGCATCAGCCTGTGAGGCAGCGCAGGGTCGTAGGACACTTAAACGCAGTTTAATTACTGTTATGATGCATCGATTAATAGGCGATTTCTCGCACCTATTTGCCACCGCAAGAGGGTGATCTAGCAGCGTCAATTTTATAAATTGCAAATAGCGTGTGTCTCGAATAGCAACAAACGGACGGAGTATCGTTTCCAAAGTTACGTTTCGTTAATCGTTATACAGGCGATTCTGAAAATGCCGTGTATGTACACGTGTCGCTGGTCTATTCGCGCTGCTGTCATTTCGTATGTACGCGTCTCTCCTGCTCCCATCCCCCGAAACGATGGCTGTTCTCGATATTTTTACAGGCGAGTTAGAAGCTCGTGTGATCTTCATCCACCCGGCTACGGGGGCTTGACAGTGAATACTCGGTTGAGGGCGATCGGTTCCTTCCACGTGGCAGATCAAAACCGAATCCCGCCGAATCGACGGGCGAGCGCCTAAGCCACGGGCCAGCTGGCACAAAAAGGGGGCATTGCTTCCGGTTCCGTTCGCCGGGTCGCTCAGAAAGAATTAACGTGCAATGCGCTAGTTCGCCAAAGGCGCTTTATCGCTATCTTATCTAATTGAAGGGACACTTCAGGTCCAGCTAGATGATCTGAGCTCATCAATTAAGCCGATCGCGCTTCGGTGCGGCAGGGGCTGGGGCAGAGCGCACGCGAATAGCGGCAGCGAAAACACTCGGAACTTTTAACCGCCGACGTGCCGGCGTGTCCGTATTCAATTACCGTCGAAATCCCTTGTCGTCGGGGCATTAAAGCCAGGTCTAATCCTAGGAATACGAGGGGGATATGCGAGACAAGGACGGTTCTCGAGTCGGTGTTAAGCTCCGCAGGGATACCTCCCTCTTTGGGGTAACGATAATCGATGAAAAAAAAAAACGGCTAAAACGGTAACAATGGCGGCGCTGCACTTGGTGTAGGTAAAGGTCGGAACGGTAGCGCGCTAAAGATTTTTTTATAAATGAGTGGAGAAGAATGTAGATATGGTTGTTTAAAACATTGTGGAAAAATTATCACGATCCTTTATCGAGAAAGCGCGAAATGTGTGCTGCGTGAAACGTTAATATATGTATATTCACAAAATGCACTCTCTCTCTCTCTCCCCCCCCCCCTCCTCTCTCTCTCTTTCTCCCTGCTACTATCAAGTAGGAATAACGGAATTGTTGCGAAATGTTCTCGCTTACTTTTCACAAGGTAACGAATCTCTCTCTCTCTGCTTTACGCGAAAAAGATTAATATGCAAAACTGAGCGATGTAACAATTCATTTCCGGTATTTCGACTTTTTTGGAGCAAAGCTTTCTTTAGAATGAGACGTTAGGATCTTTGGGTATACATTTTGGCATTTAAATTCTGAATAGTTTGCAGATGATAAAAATTCCGCCGGCATGTCACGCATCGTGCAGTACGCATAAGATGGAGCGGATGGATCATTGATCCGCCATGTTCCGGAGTCGTCTGGGAATCTTAGAAGCTGAGGAACGAGGCATTCGGACGACGGAAATGGATTCTGGGCACGCGACTGCGAGGTATTTCCAGAAACATTATCTCAAAATCTTAAAACCGCGCTATCGCCAATATTCGCTCTCCGCGATAAGGACGCTCCTTCGCTTCGACGTCACTCCCGTGCCTGTTGTTTTCGTTTTACTTTTTATCGCTTTAAAAACATACATACTTAAATCTACCAACGCATATTTAAAAATCTCCCTTATCTACAGCAAATTTCTCTTTAAATTAAGTCAAAATTAACCGAGTTTTTTTTATTTCTCTCGCTCGCTCGCTCGCTCGCTTTGGTGCAAAAAGAGTGCGATAGGAAATGCAGGCAACTGTGGTTATTTTCGCCTGGCCGAGACGATACGTGGAAGCTATTGTTCGCGCGATCCTAGTTTGGCAGTGATCCTCGGTGTCAGCCAGTCTAATAAAAGCCAGGTCGTGCTTGCGAACGAGTACCGATCGGAACCGATTGTGATTCATCCCCGCCGCCGCGGTGGCTCCGGACTGGAAAAAGACCTCCGCCGCCACTGGTCGTCGCTCCCTCGCGCATAGAAAGACGTTTTTCTTCTTTTCGGCTTAGGGACGGCGGTCTAAAGATTGCGGAGGGAATAAGCGATTCGCGGATAAATGTGGAGACAATAGTTATCAATAGCACTTCGTACGTACCGCTGCTTGGTCCGTGCCTCGCGTAGGGCTCTTGGGAGAGCCGTTCATCCGATGGCGAGCTGCCAAGCAGACACAATCCATACTATAAATACTGCTGCACATCACTGTCCCATCCTGGCGTACGGTATCTTACCGGCTCGTTCCGTTCCGTACGACTGCACCTCTTCTACAACTTCTCGCACGCGAGATTTCGCCCCGTGCTTCCTTAACACGACCAAAACGTCCCGGCGACTTCAGCACGTTGGATAAACGCTTGACTCACGAGCGCCTCGCTCCAGATGGAAAAGATCTCGCCTGTCGAAAATTGACCGCAGCTCATCGCTTGTTCTGACGAAGGAGACCCTAACAGAAATAGATTAGGCTTTAATGAAAATGCATTTTAATGTATGTAAGAAATTTGCCGGGAAAATAACGGGAGCCTCCAGTCAAGTTAGTACAGAGAAAGTAATTGGCGAACGAAATAATTCATTTCCCGCAGTTGGATGTATTCAGGAGTAATTCCGTGAAAAATTGTGTAACAGAAGAGACTCGCTGGTTGTTTTTTAAAAGGGTATTTAGCGAATGGTTAAAGTCAATGTTTGCAGCGCGAATAAATTATCGAGTAATGTAATTCCGCGTGGGAGAACGAGATCCATCTGCAACGGGTGACTCACGTACGACGGTCAAAGGGATTTGCAGTCGCCGTGAAAGAATTCGCGTGCGGCAACGCGTTAATGTAATCGTCGCGAAAGCTACAAGCTCTCTGACCACTTTCGGAACGGGGTGGATGTACAAATTCCTGTGTTACGCCGCAGGACTCTCCGGCTAATGGCGGCCGTTTATTCGACTCGTGCCCAGACTGAAAGTGGTCGATATCGGTTTTCGGCGCGGAGCGGTATCTCCGACGAGAGACGGAACATCGCGGGCGAAATCAATCGTTTTAATATGACGCAAGTAGAAACATTAGCGGCACGCTGGAAAAAAGAGAGAGAGAGAGAAAGAGAGCGCGGGAGGCCGAGAATTACGAAAGCGGGGTGAAACGAACGGCGCGAAAGGGCCGAGCGGAGCGGGAGAGAAAAAAAAGGCGGGGAGAAAAATGGGAGAAGAGAAAGCAGTGGCGGAGAGTAACGTTTATTGGACGTTATTAAATATAATGCCGCGAGGCGTGTCCCCCTTCGGGAGAGTTTTCCGATAACTTCGTAATTTGCTAAAAGGATCCCAGCTACGGGACTTTTAAGATGTACCGCTTCCTCCGTGATGTCTCCCGTCGGTCTACTATTTGTTTTCCAACGGGGTTTGTTACCGAGCACCCCGAACAATGCAACGCAGTGTGTTCCTGTTTCTTTTGCCTTTACTCCGAGGAGTCGTCGAGTGCCGTAACGATTAACATTCGTCACGATACACGTTCGTAATTCGTTTGGCGTGTCGACCGTATCTCGTTATTTTAATACTCTCGGGTCCCAGCGAAGCGATGTGTATCAGCTGAGACGGCCTTATAATAATAATTCGATGTATCGGCTGTAATACGATTATCGAATTATACTTTATTCCATCCGATCCGATTTGCCCAATAATCGTAGCGATTATCATAACTGATGACAATTAGGATTCAAATAATTTCCAAGTAAAATATTGATGCCACGGTAATATCGCGCGGCTATTAGCTCCCCTCGAATGTCCGCACTTGGCGGAAGGTAGGTAACACGTGCGAGCGGGTCCGCTGATACTCCGACTAAGAGCCATGGCGTGTCATCCTAATGGCAGTGAAATTTACTTGAAAATCGCGTTAGTCGCGAAGTTTCGGCCGTCTAGTATTTCCGGCGGAGATTATCACGAAAGGGACTCCTCGCGCTGCACGACGACGTGCTCTCAAATTGAATTGAGATTACGGCGGCACACGCCCTGCCTCGTGCACGCGTACCCACCGCCTCCTCGGGGCGGCCCGGCGGTTTCGTACGCGGATGTAATACGGTGATGCACCTCATCCAACGTCAAGTCCACTGAATACGACCACCCCGATCTTTCACGTACGGTACCTCGCGTACGCGTGCCTTTTGCGTAATTTTCCGTAAAATAAAATACGCGTGTAACCGTTTCGTTCGTTGCAATACAATTTAACATAATAATAATAAATCAAAATGAAATAATGAAAGCTTATTACGCGAACAAGAAAAAAAGAAGGCAGAAAAGTGCAGAATTGTATTTTAAGATGGCTCCTGCACGAAGGAGCGGTTGGTATGGTGGGGCCCCTTTTATTTTTCTAAATTTGTACTGTTTTCATAAAAGAATATCGCTTAATGCATTATTGATCAAATGCATTGTTACTTTAGGCTACGCATGCACATTTAAAAACGTGTTTAAAAATATGTGATGTTGTCAAGTCTCAAAGTGCTGTCAAATTTCCTCAAAACATCGCACCTTTTGACTTCACTAATAAGTATTTGCTTGCAGAGGTCGGTGACCTCATGTATTTAATAGGGCATTTGAATTCTTACAACATTATGTATATCTTGGTTTTTTTGTTAAGATCTACTTTTTCTTTAAACTAGTATTAACCCTTCAAGTGCTTCTGCGAGTAATCGGCCCATAATTCCCGGAAACACCAAGTAATAGTTACACAACATCGATATTATAATTTTCTACTTAGCAATGTAAATGTAATATAACACGGGCGTAATAATGACATTATGTAACTGTTACTTGGCGTTTAATGGGATGTTAAAAAGTTCAACTTTAACATTTCTTAACGTCAATGTTTTCTTGACCTGGCATTTTTAATGATACAGAAAATTTATTGCGCAAAATATTACCTCAGCCAGGGTTTGAACCTGGACCTCCCTACACTCTAGGCAGGTGTCGCATCAATTCGACCACCGAGGCATACGATAATACTTGTCGCGATAACAGTATAAAGATGTTGTCTACGCGTCTATTTCGACTTTGTTGAACTGCGCGCCGATGAGGGTTGTCGTTTAACATTTTTCCCTTTCTTTATTTCATCGGCGACGGGTCTGAATTTTCGCGTGCCGATAGATAAAACTAGCAACTCTGCAACACACTTAAGTTTCAATACTTTCCACTTCTGGTCGGTTCATGCAGGATCCACCTTGAAAGGCGGGGCATCAGCACTGATGCTGCGTATAAAAGCATCTAAATTTATTCGATAACAATAATAACGATGCATGCGATCGGGTTACGCAATTTGATGTAATCTTTTAACGAGTTTGTACGACGCAGTTTCACCGTTAATTTCTACGGGTTTTTTTTTCATATCGCGGCGCAATACAAGCGCGAGCTTCGACATGGAAGAGTTATGGCCTCGCCGTGGTAGTGGGTAAGTGAGTGGTAATTATTCGTCGGAGCGTGTCTTACCAGGGATACGAGGGTAGGTCGCAGGTAACGGGACGCGTTATGGAACTTCATGATCCGCCCCGGCTGCATCTAGTAGATCGGTTATCACTTTGGAGGCTTAGCCAAGGATCCGTGCAAATTGAGCGCCGTATCCACCCCGTCTTAAGGTACATCGTGTACCGCCTCTTTGAGATTCTGGAATTTGCGCTCTGCGGGGTGTGAGAGCAAGCGGATAAGTGGATATACCTCGACTTAATCGATTATCCATCCTGCCGTGCGACGAACGCACCCTCCCGGGATATTTGCGACACGTCGATGTGTTTACCTACACAGCGCCGTGTTAGATATTTAAAATTAGTTTTTCCACGACGGCCGCGACGCGCTAATAAAGCCCCGATTTAGACCGCCTCCGGCCGCGACGATCAAACACTTCAATTTCCTTCCTTCCGTCCCGCCTTCCTCCTCGTTTTTAATCCACGGCTCCATTTCCCGTTGCAGGAAGTCACCAATTTCGGAGAGGGTTGTGTACAGTGCGAAATATTACGGTCTAACGTTTAGTATATTAAGTCTCCGACCATTTTGCGTCTCGCCGAGCAGTGACTTTCCTCGTTTCTGACCCGAGAGCTCGCAAACATTCGCGAAATGCGGCACACCGCGTTTATCAGGCTGGATCTTTTGCAATCGGCGATTTCTATCGCTTTTATTAAGGGAAACTCCGTTGCACCTTAATTACCGTAGCATCATCACGGGAATTTCTCGGATATAATAAATTTACGCGCTGTTCGCTGCGAGTCTCGTTCGTTGAACTTTTCTCACGTGTAGAACTTAATGTTGTCTTAACAAGGAAGATAGTGCGTCGCATCGTTAACTCATAGGGGAAAATTCGACGGTAAAATCCGGGAATGCGTAGTGAATGGCGGAACAATGTACGTCTGCCGGAAGTTCGGGGATGCAGGCAAATTCCTCGGCGGCGTTATCATTCCCGCAGCTTTCCTCCGCGACGACTTTGGCTGAGCAAACGTAACTTCAAAGAACCCCT